GAGCCAAGGAAACCAATCCAAATAAAGATGATGATGGTCTTTGTAACTCCTGGAAGATGGGTTTAAGGACGTTAAGAATAAAATCTTCTTTGTCAGCAACATCCCTCATTATCCACAGGGGATATGTTCCAAGTCCCCCAGGGGATTCCTGAAAGCCCTGGAAGTTACTGACCATAAATATGCTATGTTTTTTTCCTATGTAAGCCATACCTATGTTGAAGTTTGATTTATAAATTAGAGATAAATAACAACAACATACTAAAGTAAAATTATTCTAACAGTGTACTGTAATAAAAGTATAAGAATGTATTTGCTCACACTCTTCTGCTGTCTCCCTCCTCCTCCATCTCTCATACTCACAGAATATTATTCTGTAGATCTTAGCAAACTCAGCATACAAGCTTTTTTTCATTCTTTATTGTTGTGGCTTATATTTAGATGTCCCACTAGCCTCATGAGCTCATAGATGGAGCCTTTGGGAGGTGGCTGGATCCTGGGTGTCTAATAGTGGATTATCAATGTCCATCGATGAGTTTAGCATAGTTGTAGGTGATAGATTTACTGAAGAAAGAAGCCCTACCCTGGATGTAGGTGGCACCAACCAATAGGCTTGTAGCCTGGATAGAATAAAAAGGAAACCATAAGGAAGGTTGCTGCCTCCAGCCTGCCCTGACATGGACTGTCTGTCATCCTCTGCCATGCAGCCCTGGCTTGGAGCCAAACGACTATGGATTGAAACCTCTACAAACTGAGCTAAATGAACCTTTCCTCAATCTATGTGTTTTGGATATTTTGTCCCAGCATCAAGGAAGTAATTTAAGACACTTAAGTACTTTTCACTTTTCGTTTAGTACTTTAGGAAGTACTAAAGATTTTCTTAAGCACATTTTAGTTGCTAGTATTACTACTTTTACATTTTAGGGGCAATTATTAAGTAAAATAAGGTTCACATGAACATGGGCCCTGTAGTCCTGCAGCCACTGATTTGGTAATAGGATGGCTGCTAAGCATCTAACAGATAGGTAGCATATACAGAGTAAATACACTGGACAAAAGGATGATTGATTTCTAGCCTGGGTAGGACAGAGTGATATCATTTGAGATTTCATTGCACTACTCAGAATGGCATGCAGTTTAAAACTTACGAATTGTTTATTTCTGGAATTTCCCATCTAATATTTTCAGATTGAGGGTAACTCCGACTATAGAAAGTAAAGCCACAGGTACAGGAAGAAACTATATTTTCTCCATAAGGTTTTCTGTGCTTGCTATCCCAACTCCTCAGCTGTTTGAATGTTACGTCCTTTTTAATGTAAGATATATCTAGGTTTGGTTTGGTTTGTACTTTTTTTTTTAGCATTTTAAGAAAAAACTATTCTTTTGAAATGGATTGGTTTAGATAAACCTCATCAGCTGTCTATCAAATGAGAATACTTCGGCTTTGGAGATAATACAGCTGATGGAAATTTAAATGACCTCAGCAGTAACTTAAGTGTCCAAATTTATACAGGGTTTAACTAGATGAAATTGCTCATCCAGTACTTTTTAACTTGCAAAATTGACAGTTTCACCACATTCATCCTGAGCTAATAGATAGCAAGACCTAAACAATTCTGTGAAGATTCTCTAAAGGGGAAAGGTATAGGTAATTTTCACTCTGTCAGAGAGAAGGGATTCTCTGGGGCTGCAATCAGAAAGCTGTTTCTATTGAAATATAATTACTGTAATGGAGGCATCTTTTTTTCTGTGTACTTTACATCATGCCTTTGACTTTCTACTTTAGTTAGTTCATGTCCCAGCCCACTATGAGGACATAGGCCCAGCAGCTGTATTTCTATTGTGAATCACATCAGAACTTCTGCCCCTATTCTTTTCCTCCCTCCCTATAACTAATATGAGGATCCAGCCATATTCTCATCTCTTAATTAGAGAGGAGTGAGGTGAAAGGAGTGAACTAATTTGTGTGTCCTGGGGTGGACTTGGAGCTCCCCTGCAGACCCTTCCCCTCCTCCCTTCCCTGTTGCTATTGCCAACCCCTTTCTTTTGTTTCATTGTTAGGGTACAGAACAACTCTTGGGATTGTTGATCACTGCATAGCAGCTATGCATTGATATTTCTGGTTTAGTGGACATAGAATTTAAAGATGAATTTCTTTCTTCATCTGTATCCAAGATCTCCAAAGGGTTCATAGCAGCTTCTTCCATCCATTGCAGATATCTTTTACAGCATTCTCATCAAAAACCTAGAGCCTGGTCTGATCGATTCTTCACCTTCACTTTGCCACCCCATGATTTTGCGCCTAACTCACTTATTGTTGGACTTACCTTTTTTTAACTCTGCAGTAAAACTGTTGCATGTCATTGTCCTATGACTAGATATGCCTGAAAGTCATTTAATCTTTTCTCCCTAAAAGCTAAACAACAGTATTGCCCATAATTTATGTGTAGTTATTTCCTAGGCTGGATATTAATAGCACAAAATATTCACCTCCATCTAGGGAGTGAATACCACATGAGAAAATTTGAATGCTTGTTCCTTGCCACAGGAAGCTGCCTGAAGTTTTCTCGGTGCACCTTTTCTGATTGTGCATGGGAGTGTGAATATAAATCTCCTCTGACAGAAACCAATCACTTCATCAGTCACAAAAGAAAATGACAACACTGTGAAAGTATGCTTGCCAGCTTCTAGTATCACTGCCTCAGGGAAGCATGTTTGTATCTGATGAAACCGAGGCTGGGCAAGGCTGAGAACATGGGAGAAAGTGCTTGTGCCAACAGGACCAGCTTCCAGAAGACCTCCTTGGAGCCACATCACTAGCCCTGTGGTGGAGAGAAGGAATGCAGCCCTCATGCTTGCATAGTAGTTCTCTCTAACACTCTTACTGTGTGGTTCTCCATTCTTTATTACATCTCCCATGGAAACCTGTTCTGTATTGTGTCTTTGTGTTTACAGAGATTACCAGGCTCAGAGAAACACAGCTTCTTGGCTAGTTTAGTGGTCAAGTCGAGATTCAAACTAAGTGTCTTCTCTCAGAGCCCACAGTCTTTCACTTTACCTTGAATTCATTTTAAATTTGAATGTCAGCAGCAGATTTGGAACGATGGTGAGAAAATAAGAAGAAACCCATCCCTGAGTGCTAATTCCACCTACTCCAAGGTTTCTCTGCTTTGTTAGTGCACTGGAATGTAAAAGGAACAAGTATCTTTCTGACTGGCAATTAACCTTGAAATAGGACAATAAAGCCCTCAGCAGCATCCTGAAGACAGTGAAAAAATGAGCAAAAGAGTTGCATGGACACTTCCTAAAACTGATCGAATGGTCAATGAGTCTGTGGAAAGATGTTCACTGTCATTAATCATCCGAGAAATCCAAATGTGACCACCACAGAAATTACTACATATCCACCAGAATTGTTAGGATGGAAAAGTCCAGTTTCAAGGGCAGTTAGGCTCTGGAGCAACCAGATCTGTCAGCCACTTCTAGTTAGCTGGTAAAACCACTTTGGAAAGTCCATTCTGTACTTGTGAATACAGCTGAACTTATGCCTACCATAGGACCCAGCATTTCCACTCATAAGAGTATGACCAACAGAAATGTATGCATATGCCCATCAGAAGATCTTTATGGAACTGTTCACAGAACCACTGTTCCTGACAAACACTGGAAATGATGAAGGAGCTCAGTAACAAAATTATAGAAGGTTCATGTAATGGAATACTGTACAGGTTCAGAATGAGTGAACTATTGCTAAACACAGTAACATGGGCATATCTCACAAACGTGATGTTGAGCGAAAGGAGGTAAACACAAAGGACTCTGTACTGCACAGTGCTGTTCAGGTAAAGTTCAAAAACAGGAAGGATTGAACTCTGCTGTCAGAAGCCAGTCAGGTGGCATTGACATTGAAATTGGTGAAAGTGACTGAGGGACCAGCTGAGGTTCCAGGGGAGCCGGCAGGATTCCATTTCTTCCCCTGGGTGTAAGGCGACACAGTGTGTTGAGAGTTTGAAAATTCCTCAACTTATTCTCTCATTATATGTATACTTCAGTATGTCTGGTATATCTTAATACTGTGTTTTTAAAGTCTGATATATACAGATGCTATCTTAAGGTTTTGACTCTTGGCATAGCAATATAAACTTAAATCAACAGTGATTACCATAGTATAAAATAGGAATTTTGTGGCATAGTGTGACCTGTATATTGTGAGAGAAATGTTCATTTCTTTTTAATAATGCGTCATTGGCTTCCATTTATTGGGCTCTGACAATTTGAGAAAGGAAGGAAATAGTGAGCTCCTTCCACAGTAGCAGTTACTGCCACTTAGCATTCACTCAGCCAAAGCCGAGCTGGTCAGGCAGGGTCTCCCCAGATTACAGTCCTTTCTAGCCTGGGAGTCTGTAATAAAACTTATGATTTCTATACCTTAAGAAGAAAAGCATAAGAAAAATGACTGAAATTTCAAGATCAGCTAAAACTAGTTCAGCACCATCACTTTCTAGGTAATAAGGTGAAAGTTCCCATTGGAAGCTGACTTTTCACACAGACAGTCTTAAGTTGCAATAGTAACAAAGAAAAGGCAATGTGGAATGTTTACAGGCCCTCAGCAATTGTCTACAAATTATTTTTACCAAGTACTAGATGCTAACATGTAGGTTGGGTTTTCCAATTCTACTTTCCACACAGAAGTAATTGAACTTTAGTGAAGAAGGGGACTGGAAGAACAAACTTGTGTTTTAAAGAACAAAATTATAAAATGCCCTATGACACATCAGGTCCATCCTTCTTTAGTGTCCCCGCTAATCTGTCTTCTCTTTTGCTCACTGAGGAATCTGAACCTCCAGATCTGTTTGGGGTCACAGTAGCAGAGCAAAGCGGGACCCACCATCTTTAAATTCTCAGCCTCTTTTTCTTTTCATTCTATAATAGAGATTGAAAATAATAATAGCTCAAAGATCATAAATATAATACTAATGAATCTTTTAAAATATATATTTTAGCTTGCTGGCCTTGAATTCCCTCCAAAGAAATTATTTGGAAACAAAGATGAACGTGTGATTGCTGAGAGGCGAAGTCATTTAGAGGTAAGAGAATTAAGCTTTTTTCCACTCTGGAGAATTTGCTATCTGACTGACTGGCAAGAATTATTCTTGCTAGACACCATTGTTTCTGTTCATGATGTAAGGGTGCTGCTTCATTAACACAGGAGATGGCAGCAGAAGATTATAAAGCAGTGGTATCAGTTTATTTGAAATACGAGTGCTTATCTCCTGGTCTAGTGGGATATTTTTCTGATTTTTGAGATCATTTGTTCTGAGAGTTAGGAAGCAAGATGTGAGAACTAAATATTCGCCACAGACAGATGGCATGTAATATAGAATGAGGGTATAAACTTGATGCAAAAAACCTTGGAATTAATTAACTGCAGATTTACAGTATTGCATCATTGTTGCTTTTTCAAGATTTGGAAGCAAAAAGGCAGATACCTATTTTAGTCATGGTTAGGCTTCGTTAGACTTATTATATCTTAAATCTGCCAAGCCAGCTACACATAGAACTCAGTTTAATCCAACTGTTGTTTTTTTGACTATCTTCCTGGCAGTACACATTGTTGACTTTTTAGTTTGTGTTTCTTCTTGGGATAGAGTTGCTTATTTGGTTGGTATCTGAGTCTTTGTGCCATGGTGTGGACCAGCTGTCTTCACTGAGAACAATGGGGTCACAGAGCATGGTCATAGGTAGCCCTCAGCCATTGTCCACTCCCTTGTCATGGTGAGCCATTGAGTCAGACAAGAATAAAGTGCAAATAGCTCACTACAGTCTGGTGTCCACAAGCTCTACAGGGGCTTCTGAAAGCTCCCTTTGCTACTTCTTCAGGAGGAATCATCGTAAGACTTGTTAAAATTGAAACCAAATAAGAAAAAGTTTCAGAGAGCCCTTTCTTAATTGTGAAGTGCCACATGAAAATTAAGCATTATCCTTACTCCTCACAATGGCCAGTTGAAAACACCTGCCCGTGGGGTTCACTTACTGCCAGTGAGGCAAGGATTAAGGAACTGTCTAAAGGCTGGAGGTTCCCTGTGAGAAGGGGGGAAATGGGGGACATGGAGAAGATGAAGACTGGAACATTGCTGCTCCATGAGGAGCACTTTAGAGTTTTGAGACCCTCGGTTTAGAATTACTCTAGGAACTGGATGGGTTTCAGCCTGAGGCTCACAGACATTTGAATTGGACTATGAAGTTGCACATTTGAAGGTCCTGAAACTAGTAAGACTGAGCTTTGGAAGGGTCAGTGCAGGATTCCAAAGTTCATCCTGTGATAACATGATCCTAAATTCTAGATGAAGAATTTGCCTTCAAGGAAAATTAATGTTGATGAACTTCCATGATAGGTTCTCTCACAGGTTTGATTTTACCACATAAAACTTTTAAAAATAATTCTAGGACTAATGGTGCATTTATTTACCTAACCCTTCCCTGTCTCAGTTGTATAGCCTTGTCTTAGTGGATACGTGGAGAATGGTGGTTTATGAACTTGTTTTCAATACTGACAGGAAACAGATAATTGTCACCCCTAGTTTCTCACTGCTCTGAATAAACTCACACAATGCCCCCTTTGCCACAGCAAATTGGACATCTTCTCCATAGCTTGTTTGTAAGCTCAGTACTGGGTGACCCCTGGTTTTCCATTCCGACCACCAGAATCAGGGAAAAATGCAAGGCACTCTTTCATTCTTGGCATTTTCAGGAGGAGCCCACATTGATTCCTTCATAACAGCCTTACTAAGTCATCTAGTGTTGATGAGCAGAGTTTTATGTTAATATCTCTGCCTTTTAGCTTTCCATTACTGTACCAAAATACTTGGATAATCAACTTTTAAAAGGAACCTAGTTTTGCAGCCTAGTTTTGGAGGTTTCAGCCCTGCTGTATTGGCCCTAGCACTTTTGGACTTGTGGCAAGACAAAACATCATGGTGGGAGCATGTGGTGGAGGAAAGTGCTCACCTCATAGCAGCCAGGAAGCAGAGAGAGGCAGAGATAAGCTGGGGTCCCAATGTGCCTTTCAATGGCACACCTCAGTGACCTAACTTGCTTCTAGGAGGCCAAATTTCTTAAATGTTCCCTTGTCTCCAGTAACACTGAGCCGGAGACCAAACCTTTAGCTTTTGGGAACACTTAGCCAAACCTCAACACTGCCTGTATACTAGGATTCCTTGGATTGCCTATGATGTTACTTACATGTCCCATTAGCCTTTATAGAATGGATTCCACACCTCAGGGAAATAGGCACTTCTGTTTGAAGATAAATGCATTTCACCTAATGTTGAGTGTTAAATCTTAGAACATTATCTTCTCTTCAGTGAGCAAGTGTAGTTCACCTTCACTTTAATGGAAAATTAATCTGATATTCTTGCATTAATTTTCTCTGACTATTGTGACTTTTCTTTTGATCTTCTAACATTAGAAGTCACTGCTTAACTTAGTGTATTTTCATGTGAAATCTAACATAGCTAGTTTTCTTGAACTTCTTACGTGATTTAACTCAACAAACATTTAATTCCTAACACATGCTGGAGACAATGCTAGGTGTTATAGAATGCAAAGGAAAGTGAGACATTTCTTTCCTTTTGAGAGCATATGTTTAAATCCCTTGTACATGAAGTTGTATCTGGAGGTATAATATAAATACATAGGCATATATAGAAGATGATTTCCAGGAGGATGCATCTATACTAGCTAATATACAGGATCTTTGCTTAAAAGAAATCATCTGGACACATTTTAAAATCTAGAACTACTTTATAAACCTGCTCAGCCAAACAGCTATATAAAGCAGTATTTAGGCAACTATTTCTGTGTTTTGATCTTCTTGCTATTAATATTTCCAAGTTTTGGACCTTGAGTTTGAATTTACCAACAAAAAGTATAAAATGTTACACATTAAGGGTAAAGAAACCATTTTGGCACTCTTCAAGTTATAAAAGTTAAATCTGTTAAAATAATTATTTTGTAAGAGATAGGCAGGAATAGAAGTTCTGTCAGGAGATGCTTTGGAGATTAGTTTTCTTACCATGGAGAGAAGAATATTAGTTGTGTCACTGGTGGTGGCAATGATGGTGTGGGTCTAGGAAATGTAGCACTGAACACAGTACATCATAAAAGGTGGAAATAAGAGCGTGCTGATGGTAAGTGAAGGGATTAAATTGGGCCTTCGGCACTAAATCATTGTTAAACTTGCATCGTCTCCACCCACACAGTATTTTTTGGCCACTACTTGTTTATAGATGGAGCCAGTTTTTCCAGAATTTGGCTTATTATTAGATTCTCCTAATAAAATGCTCTTTCATAGAATCTTGAATATTTCTAACGTGGGTGGATTTCCCTGTTGCTACCTTGCTGCCCAGCTGGAACCAGGTCTCTGCAACCATCATGTTGAGGCCAGGCTCTGCCCTAGTGTGTTTGGGTATCCTGCTAACAATACTCCCCATGTGTGACCTGCTTCCCAAGCCCCTGACATTGTTTTTCTTAGTCCTGGCAACATCCCGGGAGACATATGGGCAGATAAAGCAATGAAGGTAACAGGAAGAGAATCCCCTCAGTCTCTGCCTGATGAGTTATATTGAGCAAAGAGATTATTTTCAAGCATATTTGAAGCTACACACTATTAGGCTGAACCATAAGAAACAGTCACGGTTGTAGTTTAGAAAGAGTGAATATCAGTGGTTTCCTGTGCTTCTCCATAATACCTGATTCCTCACACTTACTTGGGATTTATTAAGTGCTGAGTATGAGGGAAAGATGTTTACTGTGTCATGGCATGTACGCCTCACCACCAGCTTGTGAGGTAAGTTCTATTAGTATCTCTTTTCACTGGTGAGGAAATGGTGGTTTATCTTATGTTAGTCAGCTTTTTGTCATAGTGACAGAATACCTAGGAAAGTCACCTTAAAGATGGAAAGATTTATTTTGGCTCCCAGTTACAGAGGTTTCAGTCCATGGTCAGGTGGACCCATTGTGTGAGTCTGAGATGAAGCAAAATGTCAAGGCAGAAGGATGTGATGGAGTAAAGCTGCTTACCTCATGGCATCCTAAACCAGAGAGGGGAAAGAGCCATCAAGGAAGCCCTCAAAAGCCCTCAGTGACCTGCTTCATCCAGTTAGGCCCAACCTCCTGATAATTCCATTACCCTATGAACTTGTCAATAGATAATGGACTGATGTAGTTATAGCCCTCATGATCCATTTGTTTCCCAAAAGCCCCACCCCCACACACTGAGTCTTGAAGGACATATTGTATCTAAACCATGACACTTGGGGAGGATCAAGGTCCCTTAGCTAGTAAGAGGCAAAGCCTCAGCTCACATGCAAGTGTCTTCCAGAACAAGCCTCTCTCAAAGTGAAATGAGTATTCCTGTAAAGAAACATCACTTCTTTTGGAGAAACATCTTTCAAGGTTGTCACACAATATAGATTAAAATCCAGTGCCTAATTACTTATTCTGAAATGCCATTTCATAAGTGTGGCAAGTATTAAGCACACACTCTGCACCAGGCAGTTATCTAGAACTGAGGGAAGTCTGGGTAGCAACACAGTGGCCCTTTTCCTATCTCCTGAGTGACTGAGGCAGTAAGGACAGCCTTGGATCATAATCTTACATTATTTTGTTGAAGGAAAGCTGTCTATTGTGGTTATTTTTAAATGTTCACTTTATGGATAAGGATGTTTTAGATCTTAATTGCTTATAATTCTGTTTATTTTTAAAAGATATGAAGTGGCACATTGTTCCCATACAGATTTACATTGAGAATATGTCAAATTCATGAATATGTATAAATATGACCATCCCATGTGAATTATTGAAGAATATAAATTCAGACTAACTTCAAAGAAATTATGGCATTAAATATTGTGTGTATTATACTGTATATTATATACACACATACATGATATGTAAATATTATATGTACAAATGGGTATCAAAGTTAGTTTTAATAAATATAATTCATTGTATAGTATTTATTAACAGTAGACCTGAAATATCCCAAATGGAACCACATGGTTCTAAAATAGCCTGTTTCTTAAAC